AAATAATTTAGGAATTCATTTATTTTTAACAACTGGAGAGAATATCCTTCTATAATCATAAAACCAACTTTGATGCCTAAACTGAAAAGTCACTGTTAAGAGCCATTGTTGCTCAGTGATCACTGAATAAGGTAAAATATTCTTGGAATGATGAAAAACCTGATGCACCTTTTCAAAACCATTATGGGGCTGGATCATTTCCTTATTACCTATGTGAACTCTTTTTAATTGTTGATGAACCTTTGTTTTATTTATTTATATCCGGTATTGAGATTTGAACCCAGTGCCTCACACATGCTAGGCAAGCACTCTACCACTTAGCTACAGCCCCAGCCCCTATGTGAGCTCTCTGATAGGGATTTTGTACATCTGAAATTAAAAAAAAGTATAAAGCTACTCATTTGGTATTAGCTTCTTTATATCGAAATCTCTAGATGGTTTTACTTCTACTGAAAACATTAAAAAATGAGTGGTGGGGGACTGGGGTTGTGTGAGGCACTGGGTTCGAGTCTCAGCACCACATATAAATAAGTAAAATAAAGGTACATTGACAAGTAAAAAAGTACTTAAAAAAAATGAGATTGGTGGGATCAGAGGGTGATTTTTGTGTTTCTTTTCAGGTCTGGCCTTTACTTGATTTCTGTCTGAAGTTTTCTAGAGAAATAAATCATGAGTCAACTTGAAAATGCTTATTTCAGCTACTTGTATAAATCTATGATATAGCGTGTCATGTTCACTAGACTTTAGATCTAGTGTTATAAACAGATCACAAGTCATGAGGGATGCAGCACTCCTGGGTTCAATCCTCAGTATCAAAAAACAAAAATAAAAAAAAAAAACCGCTACTTAGTTGAACTTTCATGTGGTAATAGCTCCCCCTTGTGAATCTTTAAGATATTGCTGATGAAAACTTTTAAATCCCTGACATAGTTTACAGATATTTCCTTTTCATAGTTAAGATGTGATACTAGATAAATGTAGTTCTTAAACTTACAGTGGACAAAGTGAAATTTAATCAGAGGTTGGTCCTGAAGCTTCCTACCCATGAACAATTGTTACATTTTCTAAACCATCTAGTTATTACTTAATAGGGATATAGGAAAAGAGTGGTTCGTTCAGTCCCAGATTTAAGTGAAATCTCTATTTTATTGGCTTTATATGGTATTCCATAAGCATCAGGAGGCTTGGCAGAATGTACACATGTGTAGTTTTTCTGCTTGTTTAAAAACAACAGCAAGGTGATTTCTGACTTGATACCTTTGACTTATTCCCTGATAGTTTATCAGCCTTGTCTTTTCATGCAAAATAGCAGAGGGGTACTTCTAAAAAGTTGTGTAAGTAATTTTCATTTCATTTTATTCATTCATAGGTTGAGCCCAGGTTCTCATGTGTGCAAGACAGATGTTGGGCTACCACTGAGCTACAGCGCCAGCCCTATTTATTTATTTTTAGTGGAATATCACCATGTTGCCCAAATTGGTCTCAAACTCTGGGGTACAAATGAGATCCTCTTAGCTCATTCTTCTGAATAGCTAGGTCTATCACTCAGTTCTAATTTTCATTTTTTTTTCCCTTTGGTGGGGCTGGGAGTTGAACCCAGGGCCTTCCACATGCTAGGCAAGTGTTATACTGCTGAGCTACACCCCCAGCCCCTTAAAGGTAGATTTGGGGGGGGGGTTAGGGAGTACTCGGAATTGAACCCAGAGGTGCTCTACCATTGAGCTACATCTTCAGCCTATTTCATTTTTGATCTTGAGATAGTCTACACAAAATTGCAGAGGTGATCTTGAACTCATGGTTCTCCTGCCTCAGCCTCCTAAGTTGCTGGGATTACAGGTGTGCACCACCACACCCAGTTTAAAGATACATTTTTGATAAAAGAATGCTTGCAGATTAAGCTTCATCTGTGTCCTTCTAGGGGCTGCAAACAGAAAAACTTACTACAAGTTTTATTCCTTGGTAAAAATCGTAGTCTGGAGGCTGGGGCTATAGCTCAGTGGCAGAGCTCTTGTCTAGCATATGTGAGGCACTAGTTCCATCCTCAACATCACATAAAAAAATAATAAAGATATTATATGTCCCTCTACAATTAAAAAAAAATTGTAAATTTTATAAATCATAGTCTGGGGTTCTGGCTAAGTGGTAGAGTGTTTGCCTAGCACACTTGAGGCACTGGGTTCGATCCTCACACCACATAAAAATGAAATAAAGATATTGTGTCCACCTACAATAAAGTAAATAGTCTGTTTAAAGCTCGGTTTTAGTTAAACAAAAAATATGGACTTACCATTGGTTTTCTAAATATCTTTTTTTAGTTATCAATGGACCTTTATTTTATTTATTTATATGTGGTGCTAAGAATCGAACCCAGTGCCTCACATGGGCTAGGTAAGCGCTCTACCACTGAGTTACAACCCCAGCCTCTGCCAAGTCCATATTTAACTTGTTATGCAGAATGAGATGAAAAAGTATGAAGGATTTTTCTCCCTAAAAACAGGCATGCTCCCGAAAATCATCTACTTTACAGTAAAAAGGGGGAAGGGGGGCAGTAAATACATACACACACAACTTAAGGCTCTTGGCTAATTACAATACTACTGTGTTTGCCTCACATTTTTGGAATATGTTTTTCTTCAATGCCAAATAGACTTTAGTCCTTTTGGGACTTGATTTTTGAAAAGCAGACAAATTTGGAGAATAATGTAGGTAATCTAGCTGTATAATTTTGTTAAAGTATGATCAAGTAATTCTCTCTCCCACCCTGTACTGGGGATTAAGTCCAGGGATGTTCTCTCATCCCCGATCTTTTTTTTTTTTTTT